GGGGGGGGGCAGGGAGGGGGGGTCCTCTCAGAAACAGGAGAGGAACTCCAGGGACAGACGTGGTCACAGAAACTGGACGATCCCCACAGCTGAGGCCCAATGTTGTCGTTGTTGTTGTTGTTGTTGTCGTTGTTGTTGTTGTTGTTGTCGTTGTTGTTGTTGTTGTTGTCGTCGTTGTTGTTGATAATAGTTGTTTTCCAGCCTGAATCTCCTCTCAGCCCAGTAGAAAAGTTACTTCACGTCACTGGAACTTTGTTTTTTCCCTGAGAGACGACACAACATGGAAGTCCTCAAGGCTGAAGGAGGGAAGAACAGCCACTCCAAAACTCTGTCCTTAACACCCCCCCGGTACCCCCCCCCCTCCAAGTTTGATGGCTTTGATGTTCTATTCCTATGATACTGCCCCCTAGGGCCTGTTCTGTCCCTCATCGACTCTGGCTCATTAATATACAGGAAGAAACACGACCAGGTTTTTTTTTTCATCCTGTGATTTTCTAACTGGAGGGGGGGGGGGGGGGGGGGCACAGCTCTGTAGTTGACTTTTCAGGTCCTGTCAACCAGATAAAGAGGTCTGGAGTCGAACTGATGTAGGGTGGTCTACAGTGGTCTACAAACTGGATTTAATATTAAAATGTTGTATAAATAAATAAATAAGTTTTGATTTAAAAAAAAAAACTCCCACAGAATAGGAAAGAGCTGGGTGTAAATTATTAACCTGTCACTGAAGAACAAGAGCAGAAAGAAAAGCAAAAACCCAGAGATCTCATTTGTTAGTCAGGAAGAAAATGTGTTTCCAACAAAACAGATTTAAATTAACATTCTGGGCTTCTGACTCCGTCCACGGCGGAGAAATGAAGACGAGAGGTTTTGGTTGCAGATTGGTAAAACTCTGACAGGGGAGACAATTAGGAAGAGAGAAAAAAAAACAAGAAAACAAAACAGAAAATATCCCCGACACAGAACGGAGAGAGAGAGGGGGAGAGAGAGGGAGAGAGAGAGGGGGGGGGTCTTGACCTCATCTCCGCGGGGTCACAGCTCTTCTTCTCACTCCTCTTCTGAAGGACAGTGGTTTTGTCACCTCTTCATCAACAACCAACCACAGTCTGTGTGTTTGATGAGAATCAACAACAGGGGCGTGGACACAGGAGGGGACGTGGACGGGTGTGGGCGTCGGCCTTCTTATGTCTCGCGCCTTTTTCCTCCTGTTTATTGATTGAGGTTTTAATGATGAAAACATCAGCTGCACAACATCAGCCCACACCAGGGGCTGATGGGTAATCAGCCCATCACACAGATGTGGGAGTTAACCCATTAACACCTGGTTCATCCACCCAGTGGTGAGGAACGTCTGTGACGTTCTCTGTGTGTGTGTGTGTGTGTGTGTGTGTGTGTCTGCAGGCTGAAGCCTTTCACGTCGTACAAGTTCAGGATGTCGGCGACCAACGACGTGGGGGACAGTGTCCTCAGCAAAGAGACGGAGGCTGTCACCACTCTATCACCACTCTACAGGATGGTGACGGGACAACTGTGAAGTGGGGGGGTAGAAGATCTTTGGGTTGATGATCCTTCTGCTGCCCCCTAGTGACTCCTCACTGTCTCTGTTGTTGTGTTTTATTCTGTCCAGTACCTGAGGAGCCTCCTGTGATCCTGGCAGTCAAACCGACAACCACCACCTCCGTCCTGGTGCAGTGGAAGGTAACCCCCCCCCCGCCCCCACCCCCGATCTTTAAAAAATGTGTGGATTATTTTCACTGACCTCAGATCAGCCTTGTAGCAGCAGCCTGTGACGTATTAGTGCAGTCTGTAGACTGACGCTCTGCAGTGTTGGTAACAGCTGAGTGTGGAGGAAGTTCTGGCTCTTCCTCAGGGGGGGGTCAGGGTGCAGCTCAGACAGATTGGCCAGATGGAGAAACAGATCCCAGAGCTGCATAAAGCATAAAATGTTAAGTCCTACTGAGAATTCACCAGCAGGGGGGGTGTTAGAGAGCAGAAGAGGCAAACGTCGGCGGTGTCCTTCAGTCGAGGAAAAACAGAGAATGTGAAAATAGAGAGTGTTCACAGTTAAAGTGACTTCAGTCAAAAGTCTTTATTTGTTCTGTCCTCACCGTTGACCCCACTGTTGACCTCCACTGTTGACCCCACTGTTGACCTCCACTGTTGACCTCCACCGTTGACCTCCACTGTTGACCCCACTGTTGACCTCCCCACTGTTGACCCCACCGTTAAAACCTGGCTCCACCATCCAACCAACCAGAACGTTCTCTGTTCTACGTGGTTCACTCCCTACATGTATCTGTGTGCCCCCCCCCCCCTCCCAGCCCCCCAGTGATGACAGCACTAATGGAGTTCTGACTGGATACAGACTGTACTACAGGGAGGTTCCAGTGAACTCGTCCACCGACGTCCAGACGACCAGGAACAGCAGTTCTCTCATCACAGGTACCTGACAACTGTTACTGGTCAATACTCTGTACTCTGTACTCTGTACTGTGTACTGTGTACATGAAAGTACATGTGCAAAGACACAGACACTTACCCTGAGCTGGACGAATAAAAGTCCACAGTCATGGAGGTCAAGTCTGGGTCAGGGGTCGTCAACCTTGTCAGTGATGAATCCAGGCTGGGGC